ATACCATGGACCGCTAGAAGAATGAACAAATTTGTCTTGGAAGAAATACAGCTGGGAGGCTGCTTAGGAGTAAGAATGGTCAGACTTGGTTTTTCTTACATCGTTCATATTATCAGAAGGGACCAATCCCTAGAGAAGGATATCATGCTTGGGACCTTAGAGCGTCAGCAAAAAATGAGGGAAGCCTCTCAACGAGATGAATTGGCACAGTGGCTGCAACAGTGGGCACAAGCATAGCAACGATTGTGAGGATGGCACAGGACCAGGCAATGTTTCAATGTGGTGTTGTACATCGGGTCACTGTGAGTTGGAACTGACTCAATGGCACCTAACAACAACAGCAGGTAAAGCACCTGGCACAGTGCTATTGCCATTAATTTGAGGCCAGAGGACCATCCATCCCATCCAGAGAATATCAAGTGCTCTTTGACAAAGAAAATCAAATTAAAAAATCAAAACTGCTGCTTATCAAGAAAAGTAAGAAATGTTTCTCATAGGAGTATATTTTGGGTATGAGGGTGTCTTTCTCAGCTGTATGCAATGGAAAGCCCTGAGAGTTTGTTTCAAAGGCCACCTCCCCCCTTCCCATCTGCTCTTCCATCCCACAAGCAAACAATTGCCATCGAGTCAATTCTGACTCATAGCTATCCTGTAAGACAGAGTAGAACTGCCACACAGGGTTTTCATGGCAGTGAACTTTATGGAAATAGATTGCTGGGCTTTCTCCCACCTCGAGTTGCAGGGTGGGTTTAAACTGCCAAGTTATAGGTTAGCAGCCAAGAGCTTAACTGTTGTGCTACCAGGGCCTCTTGAGGGCTGGCAGCAGGGCCAGGATCTTATGGCCACCAGTAGGGAGATGCATCATTCCTCATTCATGGTCTTCACTTTCTCTTAGAGCATGTGAGTCCTCACACTATTGATCTGAGGACATTTCTCCTTAGGCCAAGACTCACAAGTCCTTGAGAACTCTGAACAGTGTAAGTCAGCGGAGGCTCAGGCTGACAGCTCTGCCCAGTGTGTTGGAGCACCCCGTCCTCACTGATGGGAGTCCTCATCTTGACTCCTTGACTCCTGTCACCTGGATTAAAGTATTCCTGTGAAATCACATCCCTGCAAAACCTCAAACAGTTTCCCTACTGCTTACATTGCAGAGAATGGGTAGCTGTCCCAGAGTGATGTGGGATGGGGACACTACACCACAAGACAGGAGGCCCAGGGTAGGTGGTGGCTGGGCGGGTAAACACACACTGATCTATTCTAGCACTTCCTCCACCAGACCTGGCATCTGTTTGTCATCTGTCCTAAAAGTTTCCTTTGTATAGGAAAGGAGCCATCCAAGATGATTTTGTATCAGATGCTTTGAGGTTATCGGACCTTGCACATGTACATGATCATAATGTTCCCCAAATATTCCCTTCCTTCCTTACTCATTTTATTGCTTATGCTCATTGCTATGGCTCTGTATTCTAATCCTGTACACTGGCACAAAATTACTCTTTTCATCCCTAGATATATTTTGTGGAAGTGAGTTGTAAAGTGAATTAAGAGACACAAGATCTACCTCAGGCTGTACAAGTGGAACACTGTGGGCTCCAGACAGATTCAGATCAGGGGTCTTGTGTAGCCCTGTCACTTAGTAGAGCTGTGAAAATGCAAAAATTAGAAATTCTTCATTGATAAAGTAACTCTGAGATATGTAGCCTAAAAAGCATTTGGAATGTCTATAATACATGTAAAGTACCTGTTACCATGCCTGGGATGTTTTGGGTCCTTAATGTATGGAAGTTATTACTGTGATAGTATTGGCTCCAGTTGATACCACTCACCTATTTTTTTTTTCTTTAAATCCAAGATTTGTGGGAGAATATGCAGTGATTCAGAGAAAAGAAAATTAAATGAGCCAAAATACTGCTTAGGAAGGAAAGGTAGGTAGTATTTGGGATTAGGGAACCTGTAATATGTGAGTGTGGGATACAATTCCCCAGTTGGATGTAAGACAAGGCTTCTAGGATTGTCAATGCCAACAATTCCCCCTCCCAGCTGCCTTTGCATCTTACTCACCCCTCATTTCATTCATTAAACCACCACCAAAAATCTGATCTTCACTTGGACTTCGCCTAAGGACACTTAGGAAATCCTAATTCTAACATCCTTTGAATGGAGTGGGCTCTGGCTCCCACAGTCCAAGACAAAGGTCTAGAACAGTGGCTTCCTCACATCTTAGCCCAATGGAGTATCACCCTATTTCTCAGAAACTTCCTGGAAATGATGCAAATAAATACCCAATCAGTACATGTGTTCAAGTGCACTGGGACAAGAGCACAGAACACTTCCCAGTGGCATTCCTCTGGTTTACCCACAATCCCAGATCTCCATTAAGACCCAGTCTCCATTCCAGGTTTAATCTCCCCCAGTTATGGGAGTGTCTGCTTCTGGGCACCCCTACCACAGGCTCGTTAATTGTCCTCACTTCACCGCAACCTCCACCCACTATTGTTCAGCATCCCATGTACCCTCAGGCACTTGGAATTTCCCAAAACCTCACACTGCCTTGACTCAGGCCTTTATGCTAACTGCTCTCACCTAGACCTCCCTTCTCACTCCCTTTTACTTGTTATTTAGGTCTGAAAGCACATCCCACTGATTTCATTATCTGATAGCTGCTGTTCAACTTTAACATGTATGACCATGGGATTGGGCTTCTTTTAAAGCATTTCCAGTAATACCTTAAAGCCCACCAAATACCAGGGGCTCAGTTAATATTTGAGTTATAAAATAAACAATGAACAAAATGTCTAATTTGCTGCACTTTTATTTCTATATCTTTGAATCCAGATAAATCCGGGTATGTATCTTTTCATTTCCAAAAACAGATATTACAAGAAAATAAGCAAACTAAGATTCAACAAGATGTACTGAAATATTTTTCTTCTCTTTATCCCAAGTATTCTACTATGGGAATCATTCACATTTCCAAGAAAACCTCTATTCTTATCCATGCTCCTTTTTTTGGATCACAACATAAATTTCAGGATGTCCTATTTGTTTTTTAGAATATCAAAACACTTTCATTAATGTATGAAAGCAGCAATAAACAAGTGATCCATAACATTCATAAACTTGGATTATAAATCAAAATAAATATTATACTACAAAAAAAACAGACTTTTTAAAGTATCCTCCAAGAAAAAAAGATAAATCTCAAAGCTACCCATGTAGATCTAGAACAAAAAGAAGACATACGTTGTGTCCCCTCCAGCCCTAATTCTCCTCCACTATTTAGAAGGTTGACACCACTTTCAAAAACAAAATGAAGAATCTGCCTCATTTCACTAGGGATAGGAGGACCTGCTGGACTCAGCCCTGAAATGGGCCCTGGCAGCGGCATTGGGACCATCCGCAGCTGTCACTCCCTCTTCCTTTTCTCTCCAAATTTCCTCATACAAGTTTGGAAAGGCACTGGGTTCCATATCATTCACCTTGGCCAAAAATGCCAGGACTTTTGTTTTGTTGGCCTCAGCGTGAGTTCTGGGACCCCAAAGGAATTCATAGTGTGGAGGATCACTGTTGGGCACCTGCTGGTACTCCAGGTACCCTTCCTGCACCAAATCTTTGGTGATGAACTTCCTGGGATCTCCAAAGATGGCATGCCTCTTCCCATCATATACACCTAAAGCTTTCAGGAATTTCCAGACTTTCTCCTCAGTGACCCGGTAGCCATTCATGTAGATCAAGGCCAGGAGAGGCATCAAGAGGCCATTCCTGGGATAAGCCCTGGCATCAAACACATGCTTTTCCTGGCTGATCTCCAAATTGTTGACAATGTCATAAAATTGACCCTTGGAGTCAACCTCCACCAGGTTGAGGCCAAAAACTATCTCAATGTGCTCACAGGCTCTCCTCAGGATCTCTGGGAATTGCCCCCTGAATATTTTGTTGATGACCTTCATCATTTCTGCCTTCAAAATGAGCTCTCTGTTTTTATACTTCTGCAGCAGAAACTGCAACAACCTGAGCACACTCCTGCTGAGAGGGTCTCTGTGTGATTTCTCAGTGGGGGGAGGGGCCACAGAGGAACTTGCATTTAACTCCACTTGGCCCTCTGCACCTTCAGCAGCAGTTGTGCAGGACACACCATCAGCATCAGTGGTGGTTGATGGGACAATCTCAGGCCCCTGGGGAAAGCCAGCAGCTGAGGAGCTCTGGGAAGAACTCCCAAAGGGAGAAGAGGAGTGGGGAGACCCTTCCTCCTCTGCTGCAGTGTCCTGGGCACCCTCAAGACCATGGTCATCACCTCTGGCCTCAAGTTGGGCTTTAAGTCGGGCCTGGTGACGTTTCTTTCGGGCACGGAGCTTACTTTTATGACCACGAGGCATGACGACTCTGGTCAAGGAGAGCAGGCAGGACTATGGGAGCAGGACAGGTGGTGGGGGGCTACTGCGGAAGAAAGTCTGAGGGAGTGTCAGCCCCTTTAGCAGGTAGATTCCTCTTTGGCTTTAACAATGGCTGTTTAGGCAGGATTCTTGGAGGGTACTGTTCTAGGAACACAGAAGGCTTCTCATCTGGTCAGCCTGTCCTGAGAACCCTGTGGAAGAAATTAGGGTGAGGCTTAGTTTGCAGTTGCCAGCAGGGCCTGGCAGTGGGGAACCTCTCCACTGGGATAGTGGGGAGTCTACTCATTGCACTTTCAGGGCCATCAGATCAAGAGTTTGCAGGGTTTGTGCCTCATCCCATGTGCTTCCCTGAACTGGACACCTCAAAGCCCCCTGGGTCCCTTGGAGTAATTGAAGGAGCAGCTCAGCTACCACCTTTGAAGGGTATTTCAGTAATGACAGGGAAGTGGGGCATGTTCTGTCCTGAGTTCCTTGGAGGCCTCAGTCCTCATTAGGGTCCTCACCCTGACTCTGGAACAATGTGGAAGCCCTCCCTGTCTTGGATAAGGCCTATCTGCTCATCCCAAAGCCCTCAGTTTCTAGAGACCTCTTAAGGAGCAGTAACATTTGCCTCACCTGGCTGCAAATGCCTGTGGTTTCCCAAGGCTGATAGTAATGGAGGGCTTCTGCACTGACTTCAATTAGGGTGATTCCCTCAATCCTCAGGATCCTCACCTTGACTACTGGTAATCCCTGAAATTCCTCCATCTGCTTACCTTAGGCTGCCTATTTTGACCTGGTCTCTCAATTACCTGAGATGCCCAAGGTGGACATGAGTGTGACTCTCACTATCAGCATTCCCAGGTCATCCAGGTACAAAAGCAGGGATGAAGTCCCCCGTTGTGTCAAAGAGGAGTTGTATCATCATAAATCACTGTCTTCACTTTAATGTCTGTTAATAAGCAAATCTCCCACCTTTACTGGGACAAACCAAAAACCAAACTCACTGCCATCAGGTGGGATCCAATTCTTAGTGACCCCTCCTTGGTTTCTGAGGTGGTTATCTCTATGGAAGTAGATTTCCCAATCTTCCTTCTAAGGAGTGGCTGGTGGGTTTGAACTGCCAGCCTTCTGGTTAGCAGTCAAATGTCTTATACAGGTGTCCCCATTGGTCCCAGGATTTCACATCCTTGAGACCACCTGCCCCCAGGAGCAAACTACAAGGTTACCTCTGCTTGACATCTCTCACCATGGCTTCTCAGGACCAACCACAGCAGGGAGATTTGGGGCAGCCACCCCTCTTCAAAAGGGATTAATTCCTTCTTTCTCCTTGCAAGATTAGTTCTTTGACTCCCCCTAGTTGTTGGATCCTGTCTCTGTTGAATTGGGACCGCCAGCACTAAGCCAAGAATTTCATCTGCTTGAAAACTTCCAGGCAAAAGTCAGGAGGAACTGAACCTCCCAGATTTGTCCTGGGCTCCCAGAGCTTAGGGCAAGAACAAGGTTTAGTGAAATCCTCCCCATTTTGGGATGAGTGGTTCCCAGTACCTCAGTCATGTTTTCATCTTCACTCTGCACCATTCCTGGGACCCACCACTCTGCTGACCAGACAGAACCTTACTGAGACCTCAGACTTGGATGTCGAGGGTGAGCCACCCCATGTGGACCCTGATTCAGGAGCACTAGGTATGTGTGGAGGGGCCAGGAGACACCACAATTCCCAGTTAGGTGCTGCCTTTGTCCCTCACCCAGGCTTCAGGCCTTGGCTCTGGGTAGGGCTTGGAATTCCTCTCTCCTGACAAGAGTCCCCCTTAAAGCAGGGGTGGGCTTTATGGTGCAGAGTAAGAACCTCACCTGTTTAAAGGGGAGTCAGGGCGCTGTCCATCTGACTACCGCTCTCCGGGGCACTCCCAGGGCTGAGAGCAGCGGCGGCTTTGGGCAGTCCCTCTTTTGAGCAGAAGCCTCCTCATAAGCACTAAGGGACATCACCTGGCCTCCAATTAGGGTCCAGGTCTCCTGCATCCTCAGAAATGGGGCTGTTCCTTCATATCATGGCCCTTCATTCCTGAGACTTTTCAGGCTTAACTCAGCCTGATGGCACTGAGGCTGGAGGGAGGGTCTAGACTTTATAGTGTCTCCCGTATTCTGGGATAGGTGGTCCCCTCAGTCAACATTGAGGGTACCCACCATGAATCCTGAACAGTCCTGAGCCTCCATTGTGATGTTGAGCTCACACAGCTGAATGCAAAGGTGGTAGCTTTCCGGCACTTCGGTCACAAAAGACAGGATTCTAGGGTATGTTACATCCCACCAAGGTGTTTTAGGGGCGTCCACAGGGCAAGACTATTGGGTAACCTTTGAGGGCCAATAATAGGGGTGGGCCGAGGCTCTAGGGAACCCAAAATTTTGGATTCGATGGTCACTTAGTGATCACTTAGAGTCCTCACCTTGACACGCATCAGAGCCTGGGGTTCCTGCCTGTACAGACCTCAATCACAGGGTCAGAACTAGCCTGTCACCTCACAGAGGCTCTCACAGGGGGAGGTCAGGGCATGCCGCATGGCTACCCTGCCTGAGGTCTCACAGGGGTGGTGACTGGGTCAGTGCTCTGAGAAAAGCCTGTTTGGTAGGTAATTCCTTCCCCCAATTAGCACTCAGGGCCCACACCTTGCTACAATTAGGGACAACACTCCTCCCTTAACAGAACTGGGGCTTCCTGCATTAGATCAAAGCCTTCCCTGCCAATACCTTCTGTGCCAAAATCAGGGGACACATCAGGCCAACAGCTCTACCTGGTGCCTCCCCTGGGTCAAAACAGGAGCTGAACTCTGAAGGATCTTTCTGTTGGTGCGGGTCGCCTCAAAAGACACAAAGTCTTCACTTGGACTCCTGTTAGGTCCTAGTCTATTCCCTCTGTCGAAGAACCAGTAGTACTTCCCTCACCCACACCCTCATCACTCCACCAGTCTATTCCCCCACCCCATCCAGCACACACCAAAGCCCTTGCCACCCAGAAACCATATAGAGGAAATAAAGGGGAGCCTCAGACTAGGAGCTTTGGAGAAAACTCCTAGAACTCTTAACTGGGGTGGGGCTCTCTGAAGAGCCCTTTGTTTTGTGGAATCCTTAAAAAAAAAAAACCCGCAGGAAGTATCCTCATCTTGCCTCCTTTAAGACCTAGGTATCCCCTCTCTTCAAAACTAAGGACAAGTGCACTGTACTGAAGACCTGACACAATATCTGCATGGAGAGAAAATGAGGCTACTGCTTAGCTTGACACCTCTGAACTGTGCCTCAGAAAGCAGCTGCGAGTGATTTTATGGGGTCATTTGTGTTCTGTAGTGGATCGTTCTCTCATTGCTCAGAGTCCTCACCTTGGCTCCTGATCAATCCTGGGAATTTATTCTCCTTCCCTGAGGATGATGGGAACTCTGGTAGCACAGTGCCTAAGGCATCTGAGTGCTCACCAGAAGGTTGGTGGTTCAAACTCACCAGCCAATCTGTGGAAGCAAACCTGGGTAATCTGCTTCATAAAGATTTACTGCCTTGGAAACCCAGTGGGGATCTCTATGAGTCAGAATCAACTTGGTGGCAGGGGGTTTGGTTTTCATTTGAGGATGATCCTCTCTGATCAATGTGCATACCTTAATGGCACCATGCTTTGGAATCAGGGTGATCCACACTTGTCCAGAGCTCTTCAGGATCTGGCAGAAGTGACAGCAGACATGAGTCTCTATGGGACAACGTTGTTCTGTTTGGGTTCTGGAATCATCTTCATTCAGGGTCATCACCTGGATACTCACTGTATTGTTTTGCAAATAATATACATATTATAAAGTTTTTTGCAGGTTGTGCAACCCTCTTACATGTTACTTTCCTATGTGCACTATCTATGTCATATGTGTGTGGATGTTATTTATGTGGGTGTGAGAATGTGGTATCAGAGATTGAGACTCGTATATCTACTGACTTAAGGTGCCCCATTTAGGCCAAGGCTCTCAAGTTGCTGAGAATTCTGAAGAGGAAGGGAGGTGATGCTCAGCCTAACAGCCCTACCTAGGGCTTTGTAGGTCTGAGAACAGGTGCTAGTTGGTCTCTGTGTGACCCCTATATTCTGGGATATTGGTCTTCCCAGTCCTTACTCCAGATGTGGTCTTCTTGGTTCTTGTCTCTTGGATTAAAGGGTTCCCGGAAAATGTCATCCCTCCAACTTGTGAATAAGTTCCCCACTGGAATCTGCAGAGATTGAGTCCCTGTCCCAAAGGTGATGTGAAATGAGGAAGCTATACCACAATGACAGGTGCTGGGCTGTCAGAGAAAGACGTTGATCTATTTCATAATTTCATCAGCAGGACTTGGTAAGTATTTTATATCGTGATTCAGGCCTAAAAGATTTATTTCATACAGGAAAGGCTACCTCTAAGAATGTTTTGTGAGCCCCTATGTTTGGAGGTTATCTGATACAGCAGAAATAGATGATCGTGTTTCCAATAAGAATTATCTCTTTATCTCATTTATTCATACCAGTCATTTATTTTGGTATTCTTATGGTTCTGGCTGTGTATTCCATCCCAGGGCTTTGGCCACAAAGATATTCTTTTTCTCACCTGAGACACACATTGTAGTGCAGAGAAAAAAAGTGAATTAAGACACACAAGGTCAGCCTCTGGTTATGAGGTGTGGAATAGGGTGGGCTCCAGATGGTTAGATGGAGTCTAGCCCTAGTATGTACCAGACTTGTGAATGTGTGCACATTACCAAACTCTCTGAGCACAGGTTCATTGTATGTGAAGTAGATTTAACAAGTCCTGTCTTCTAGGCTTGTTGGAATGTGAGTATTGTATGCAAAGCACCACATTCTGATTATTTATTATTGAACCAATGACAGATCATCAATTTCTCATTTACATGTTTCAGTTGAAGTGGAAGAACATTAAAACAAGTCAAAGAGAGCCAAATTACACCCTTGAGTATATTATACTTGACTTTGGAGACCATCTGAA